CTACTTACGGAAACCCCTGTGTACTTTCCAATAGATTTTAAAGAAAGTGCTTCGTTAATGACGGCATTTCATGTCGCTTTCTATAAGTACGTCGCAGACACCTTTTATGTACAGAGTACTCAGCGCTATAAGCGCTGCCCTTTTAGACAAGGTGGACTGAAATGCCCTTGCTTGGAAATTGTTTTTCACACATTTTTTTGACGTCACTGACTGCACAAAAGCAAGCCTCAATTTTCTGCTTCACGCATGAACCCCTACATCGCACAGATGCCGTTCTGAGAAGGCGTAGACCCGGAAGATCCCTTAGCTTGGAAAAAAATTAGCGGTATCGCTAAACCGCCGACCCACCCCACCGCGTCACTGGTCTACGAGCGCCGCCGTTGACCTGGTCGTGAGTACTCGACAGCTGTGAAATAAAAAAATTTGTAGTGAGTGGATTGCGTGTTTCGGTATGGGCGGGACCACTAGGGGAGGCGATCAGAACTGCCAATTATGAGGTGCCACAGCGCCCTTCGTTTCTCCTGTAAGATGCTGAAGTGGAAGGTAGGATAATCTCAGAGATGAGAACCATACTACTTGTACAAGGAAGGACGCCTAAGAACTGCTTGGGCGTGGGGAATGTCTCTAGGTATGGACTAGCAAAACGAACTCGCGAAAGTACAGAATGCCCCCTCCTTGCCTCACCAAATAGCTGCCACCCAGTGGGTCGGCGGTTTAGCGATACCGCTAATTTTTTTCCAAGCTAAGGGATCTTCCGGGTCTACGCCTTCTCAGAACGGCATCTGTGCGATGTAGGGGTTCATGCGTGAAGCAGAAAATTGAGGCTTGCTTTTGTGCAGTCAGTGACGTCAAAAAATGTGTGAAAAACAATTTCCAAGCAAGGGCATTTCAGTCCACCTTGTCTAAAAGGGCAGCGCTTATAGCGCTGAGTACTCTGTACATAAAAGGTGTCTGCGACGTACTTATAGAAAGCGACATGAAATGCCGTCATTAACGAAGCACTTTCTTTAAAATCTATTGGAAAGTACACAGGGGTTTCCGTAAGTGGCGAACTCATCCAGCCAAGTGCAGGGGTCGGATGGGATCGTGGATAATATGGTGGGCTAGCTGGCAGTGCTGGGGAAGGATTCATGGTTCGGATGATTCTGAAGCCTTTTTGGATATTTTCTATTTGAACAAAGTCATGATCCCTGCAAAGGATGGGGCGTGTGATGCAGCGTTGATTGGGCCCTTAATCCACCAATGATACAACCCCGAACCCGCTGTAATTCGTGAGAAGTCTGCTCCTGTCCGCGCCCCATCACACTTTGCAGGGTCATGACTGTATGCAAACGCAACAAAATAGAAATCACAGAGGTGCAAAATTTTGTCATCGTGGGGACCTGAACCATTAACCACTCGTTCGCTCGTTTCTTGTGAGCGCTCAGCGAATATAAAACTCGCTTTTCTATGCAAAAGCTCCAACATCATGCGAAAACCGTTTCGGAAAAGCGCTCCATAACCTGAGAGACTTTTTTACAATTGTGCTCCATTAAATGAAATATCACACCAAGAGCTTCCGACTTATCTAGGAATTATTCAACATATAACTCATTTTCAGATTTTCTTATGTTCTTTCAACGAAAGCTCACCAAATGCAGGAAATTTTCTTAGTGCTGATGTGATCATTTTTGATTTCGGACTTTTCCACGAACTTATACAGGTGAGCTCTTCTGAAACCTTTCCAATTCCGCATGCTTACTATTTATGGGAACCTTGACGCAGATAAATGTTCTCAAAAGAATGGGAGTTTCATGTTTGAATACGTGGTTGTTACCCAACACCCCTTGCCTACCGAAAGGGTATAGCTCTACCTACGCCTAGCTTACGCCATCGATGCGCGAACCCCATCAGGGGAGGGTCGTATTTGGTGCTAATAGTATAGGGTAGCCGCTTTTGCCTTTAAGGAACATTTTTTCGAATATTGATTTTTCCCGCCTCGATCGCGTTATAATTTCGCTCCTCTTCCTCACTAGAGGAGCTCTGGGGAAATTTAGAGGGGAAGGAAGGCTATGGGTTGGTTTGGTATGTCACGAAATGGGGTATCACTGACACCACACATCCTACCCACGCTTCTTCCTCTACCGGGTGCTATCTTAGCTATTGGGATCAGGGCACGGCATGTCGCTGGAAAATTCTTGGGAATACCCTTCCCCCCCAGTTCCCGTCTAATACGACCCCCTTCCGCATCCCACCTACTATCTTGCCAACTTTTCAAAGTTTCCCACCACTTTTTCCGAAATTTCCCAAAATTTTCCAGGTTTTTCCCCGAAATTTTCTGCCGAGCGTGTCAGCGAAGCGGGGAGGCAACAGGGCAACAGCACCAGTAAAGGGGAAAAACTGCGAAAAGCCGACAACCTGAAAAAGCAACGCGACAAATCCATCCCAAAGGCGGGAAAGGCAGATACGAGTCAGCTTCTCAAAACGACAACCAAATACGACCCCCAGCTCGGGATTCCCATAGTAGGACGTGCTCTGATAGGGATTCTTCCACTCCTTCGTGTGCTCTTGGACGTACGGGTCGTTCGGGTCCCGGAAGTTCACCGCTCCCCTCCCCCCATGTCTGTAAGGTTCCTTGTCTGGCAGCAATTCTTGACACAGTACCATTCAGAACATCAAGGTGTTCCAGTCTTAATGATGAATTCCACTTCCTTTTGTGCATTGAACAAAGGCGGCCCTGGGTTCTGAAGCCTGGCACATGTCCTTCTTGTATGATGTGCCCTTCACTTGAAACGCTTTGAAAATCCAAATGGGATCACCTACCAAACTGTTCCTGAAGTCTCGTACAGCTCGATCTAGCGCTCCCTGCCACTCTCCGTCTTTTCCGCCCAGTGCTCTTTACATTTATCTCATTGTTGGCGTGCTGATTGCAATTTGTAACCGGCAATTTTCTTTGCAGGTGCAAGAATGTATCGCTAACTACCTAGACGGAGGCTATATGCGATGTTTATGGTGTTTAGGACAAATGGCTGCTCTAGCATTAACCATTGGTAAGTTTTCCCCAATATAGCTCTCATTTCCGTCGATATTACTCATAGTCGCTGTACAATTTCGGAGTCATAGACCCTGACTCCATGAAAATAAGTGTTTTTCTATTGGCAAATCAAGTTTCTGGAAAACACCTTTGTTCCGCCCCAACTCAGTATTTTCGAAAAGTGGACCATGAAAGCTGCACACCCCAAGAGCTCGAGCGGTGTTGGGGTAGGGGCGGATGACGCCACTTATCAAGGGCACTGTCAGTGATCAAATCTCATGTCCTTTCTTACCCAGGCCAGCCAAACTTCCATTTCCAGGGTCGCTTGAGTGGTGCGTACCGCCTCAAAAGATAAAAATGATGATGCCCTCGCGGCTCATCAGTCCTCTTTTGGTTCTACTTCATTCAGAAATCGAGTAGGTCTCTGATACTGAATATAGGCCTATAGGATACTTGCGGGGCCAGCCAAACATACAAGTATGGTGGCTCATCATTGCATGACCGGCGTTCGGGGCGGTGCCTGTGACTCGGCTGTGACGCGACTGTCATCGTTGCCGCGTACAGCCGAGTCACACGCACCGCCCCACCGGTCTGCAATGATGAGGACTGTAAGAGTCGCTATCCTCCCAGGACATTAGTGGCCAATTGATGTCCCCGCGAGTAGCGAGGCCTTGGTTAGCCTGGTGGGGGCCGATCTCAGACGCCAGTCTGTCCACTTAGGAGATAAAAATATCGGATAAGCCATCTTGAGCATATCAGCATGCACCACTGGTGGAGCTGGTGTAGGGGGGAGGGGAGTCTGGCGCTGCTAATTACGCGCTAACCATAAATACCTACCTCATTTTAGGCCAAATGGCATCAACTAGCCACTCCGAACTTTGAATGGAACCAGAACGCTTGACCGTATCAACAAAAAAAATGATAAACATCAGTAGCTAACCCTTTGACCCCACCTTATCAGAACGCCTTCCGACTTCTTTCCGATATAAAACCTGTTGTATTTCCTCAGCTCTTGCTATGTAGAGTCTTTCCGAAATTCGAAGGCGTCTTCTAGTCGGATGATCGTTAAAGGCAGTGAGCACGACTTCTGGGGCGGGCGATTATTGCCAACGTCATTTGTGGAAGGGTTGGGTGAGCTGTGGCCAACGCCTTCTCGAAGTCCTTCCACCAATGGCGCTGGCAACAACCGCCCGCCTCGAGCAGTCCTGTCCACTGCCTTTGATAGAGTCCCAGGGGATCATTCCCTGAAACTTGTCATCTTCCGGAACCTATGATTCCTTTCACTAATGAGTCTCTTATTTCAGTGACTTGCCTGGGTGTAGCACATCCGCATCCGTTGCTGTTGTGGCCACAGCTTATCATACAGAACGCCTACTGCTTCGGCCTCGTAATTCTGACTATCGCCACTGCTGACAAATTGCTGGTCGCCATCCTGCATCCAGTAAATCCACATCTCAGCTTGCTCATTTTCTACTTTGGCGTTGGCACTTGCACTAATCACATCTTCGATTACATATTATGGCACTACTACTGGCACGAAGAGTACCAGTACATTACAAGAACAGGAAAGCACGTGATTCCATTTTGGGTATGAACTAGAACCCTGTGATTCCTTGAATATAACATGGATCCCATAAGGTCCTTAAGTTTGACAAGAAGCTCAGGGAATTCAGGAGTCCAGGGATTCAGGGCGTCAGTTCAGACCGGTTGGGATGCAGCCAAGTGTGACTGCTCCCACCCAATGGCCACCTAAACACTGTTCACAGCAGGAGAATCTCAGGATTCAGTGTGTAATTTAGTTCGCTACGGACGAACGGGCGTCTCCGGCGGGATGAATTTGGCACAGTGCCAAGTCCCGTTCTCCACCAGTTGTTGAAGCGAGCAAGCGACAAAACTGTATCATATCGTTCGTATCACTCGTTTTCTACCAATTGTTGTCGCATACCTGCTCACAGCTGACGGAGAACGGGTTTGGCACCGTGCCAAATTCATCTCGACACGCCCCTTCGTCCGCAGCGAACTGGAATATAATCCCCCTCGCGAAAAGGGTCAGATACACATCGCTTGAGGGAATCGGTGATCTTTTGATTCTCCAGTTGGGGACAGTTCACCGAACCACCTGCAGTTCATATCGGGAGTGGGGGGAGGCTTTGCAGCCGTTGCTGCTTTCGCAGCTACGTACTTGGGAACGCCCCTTCTGCCCTCAGATATGGACTGCACGTGGCTCTTTTCACAGGTGTGCAGGGTTATCGGGCCTTTCAATAGCGCGATCTCCGATTCTTCATTTCGATTCGTAGCTATTTCTTGTCGCCGATTCTCCAGTTCGTCTAGGTCGCTGAACCTCACAATCTCAGCGTCCTGTTACATGCTTTCCGACCTCAGTTTAATGTTCTCAGCCTTTTTCCAGTTCTGATATCAGAAAATGCTCCATTTAGCTTGCACTCTGCTCAGTACAATGTATCAATGACAAGTATAACAAGTGCCTTCAATAAATTATTCATGATAGTGTTCGTTGCTTTCTGAGAAATTATTTCCGGGAATCAGAACAGAATTATTTCCTTTTTTTTAATTGAAGCGTAGACACTAGGCAAGGGCACGAGGGGCTCGTAATGGTGGCTCTGTGAACACAGCATTACTGGTACCACCGACAAATGAGATTTCAGAATCTAAGGAATAGGAGGATCTAAAAATTCAGGGAAAACGAAGGCTATTCATAGCTATGAGTCACATTTGCTACAATTCATTTTCTACTTTTTGTGTTGCTTGGAAATATAGAAGAGCTCATCTCTCATATAACCGATCTTCTGAAAAAACTGCGCATTTTTCAATGAGGTGCGTTTTACGACCAAGGAGCACAAAACAAACGCGGAATCAAGTATGGCTGCGTTTATACTTTACGGCTGCGTCCACCAGCAACCATCAGCTTTCGAGCGTCTGTCAGACTGGGAAAGTATCGATATCGATTTAGCGCGCGGCAGCGTCTACCAACGTCCACCAGCGTCTCTACTCCTGGTCGCTGGTGGACGCTAGATCGATATCCACACTTTCCTAGTCCCCCGAGACGCTGATGGTGTGGTGGAACGCTGCCCACAGCGTTCAGACTTCGCGACAGCAATGCTTCAATCGCGCGTTCGACGCGATCGATGCAGTCGAAAGCATGCGCATCGATCGTCGAATCGCGCGACCGAAGCGCTGCCGTCGCGAAGTCTGAACGCTGCCTTAGCAGAGTAGAAAGTCTAGCTTTAGCGGTATGTACTTCTCCAGCCGAATACCATGCCAAAAAGCGATGAAAATTCGTGATTCTGTTCTTAAAACATGAAAATATGACATAATTTTTACGAGGACCATGTCCATCTGTCATTTTACCGCTTGAAAAAGAATGGAGACCTCAATTTAGCTTCCCGAAGTCCGACATGCCATCTCGTCGGTGAGGAATCGTACGGCACCGGTCCCGACAGGATCAGACCCGAACATCTGAAGAATCTTCCGCCAGTTCTTGTCAAAACTCTGGCTCGACTCTTCACGCGCTGTCGGAATGCAAGGTTTACCTCGTGGGAAACCAGTAGGTACAAGAAGAAAGACCTGCATTACATTGGTAATTATCGCCCAATCTGCCTGGTGTCTAATGAAGTACTGCTCTAGTACATGATGTCGCCTCGTCCCACATTCTTCCCTTCAAAGAAAGCCTTCGACTCCGCACATAAGCGATAACGACGAGCGTGATGATGTTGGTGCAGAGGGGGTACCTACCAGTACTCACGAAACGTCAAGCAAATACTACGTCAACAGCCAGCCCGATGGTAGAAATCTTCA